GAGAGGAGGGACGGTGGTCTGGACAAGTCGAGAGGAGGGACGGTGGTATGGACATGTCGAGAGGAGGGACGGTGGTATGGACAAGTTGAGATTAAATAAGTTTTAACAAAATGTCTCACACTCCAGGTGATATCCCTTCTTGGATTAGTTTTGCATTCTCAAGCTTTACGAGTTCTTTACCAGCTTCAGAATGACATGGAACAGTAATGACAGTGTCGGTACGGTCACTGATATCTGTCCGACCTGAACCTGCAGGTGGATGTTTTGTACTGGTAGAGTCAGGACTGGAGTGTTTGTGGTGAGACGATTTTTTCCGTCTGAGAGAGAAGCATGCAGACATCATTAAAAAGCACAATGAAGTCCCTTAACGATGTCTGGATGCTCATGAAGTGTGAGGTGAAGTTCGAACAATGGGCTCATGCTTAAAGACAACGAGTACTTCAGGTAAAGGTGCTAAAAGTCAGACCTCGGCAGCCGCAGCTCTCCCTTTCAGTGTCACGTAAGCAGCTGGTAGCACCTGAAGCATGAAGAACATTTTCCGCCTCATGTCTCATCAACAACGAGGCGTGCTACGCCCTGAAGCAGGCGTGTTCTCCACATCAAACACAGCTTCTCATGCAAACAGCTCCTCCTGGGAACCAGTGAGACCAGCTGAGGCCTTTATGGACCTGTTGGATGAGTGACGGGCACACAGTCCTTTTAAGGTTGTCTGCTGCACCTGACGTATCTTCTAATGTTTCTATTAACGATGCTACTACTATTAATACCACATCTGCTAGTACTACGACAGCTTATATATTTTTCTAATGCTTCTACTTATAATGCAATGTTACTACTACTAATACTACCAATACTACTAATACTTCTAGTGCTACTACTGCTAATGCTAAATAAAAAGCTGATACTACGGTTACTACTTCTTTTTTCTACTTTAGGCGTTACTGACACCCTTTTGTCTCAAATCACTCCTGAAACTTTTCTCCATCCACTCCATCCCACCTGGACTCTCTTCTTCACCTCTTCACCACACTCCCCATTTCCCTGGACAGTGGACCCCAAGTACTTGAAGTCCTGCACCTTTGTGACCTCTGCTCCTTCTAGCCTCACTGTTCCACCTCCTCCCTCTCATTCACACACATGTACTCTGTCTTACTACGGGTGACTTTCATTTCTCTTCTTTTAAGTGCATACCTCCACCTCTCCAAGTTCTCTTCCACCTGTTTCCACCACAGATCACGTCATCTGCAAACATCATCGTCCACGGGCATTCCTGCCTGATCTCAACTGTTAGTCGGTCCATCACCAGAGCAAACAAGAAGGGGCTCAGAGATGATCCTTGATGCACTCCCACCTCCACCTTGAATCTGTCACTCCTACAGAACATCTCACCACTGTCCTGTTGTCCTCATACATGTCCTGTACCAGTCTAACATACTTCTCTGCCACTCAATATATCCTTGTGCAACACCACACCTCCTCCCTCGGCACCCTGCGCTTTTTCTAAATCTACAGACACAATGAAGTTCTTCTGACCCTCTCTGTTCTTCTCCATCAGCATCCTCAAAGCAAAGATGGCATCTGTGGTGCTCTTTGGCATGAAACCATACTGCTCCTCAAAGATAGTCACCTCTCGTCTAAGTCTCGCTTCCACAACTCTCCCAGATCTTCATCGTGTGACTCATCAACTTAAGTCTCCTGCAGTTGCTACAACTCTGGTGCTCAATGGGCACCAGCTCACTTCTTCTTCTCCTTTCATCAGACATTTTCTCGTCCTCAAGTTTCTTTCGGATTCTCCCTTTTTCAGGGGTCACCACAGTGAGCGAACTCGAACCTGACGCAACCTGGGCTCGATCCCACAACCTCAGGATTACAAGACCGTGGCACTGACCCCAAATATGCCATTCAGTGGTTGAGTGAAGAACTCACTGCCGTCTGTCCAAGACATTTCCAAACCTCTCCTGTATGTCATCAGGTCCTACTGCCTTCCCCTCCTTCATTCCACTAATGCTATTACTGCTAATGCTATTTCCTAATGCTAGTTCTGGTCATGCTAATTTCAGTTAAAATAAATGTTTTGAGAAATTTAGCCAGCTTTTTGCAATTTTGTAGTTTTTAACAAGTTAGTTTTAGGTTTTAGTTTACATTCAGCTTCTTCAGCGCTCACTGCTAGCGCTGCATCTTTGAAAAAATGCAACTATTTAAGTTAAAAATAGGTTCCACCTGAAAGAAGTTTAAGTGTTCAGTAATATCTACGTGTCATGAAAAACCCTGGAACCACCTCTTAGTAGTTTGTGCTACCAGGGAGCCAAAGACATCATGAAGACCAAGGAACTCCACACAGGTCAAACACAATATTTTGAAGAAGTACAGATCAGGGTCAGATTATAAACTAGATCCCAGAACTCTGAACATTTGAATTTAAGTTTGTAGAGTGTCAAAACAGGAAGAACACCAAGAGAACGTTGAGTTGGACTCGGTGAAACATTAAAGCTGCAGCTCAGGCCACGAAACAACGAGACGTTGTTTCTTTGGTCTCGGGTCGTTTGGCTCGGGTTCTGAGGCGATTCAAAGCTTGCTGTTGAAAAACACCTACGCCTCAGACGGAGGCAGCGCTGCTGACAGAGACGAGGTGTGTGTGTGTGGTAGATCAGTACTAACTCAATGGTGCCGTGGCCTTCTGCACTCTCCTGCACCACGTTGCCCTGAAGGATCTCCTGAGTTTTCACCGTGGAGATAGGCAAGTCTTTGTCGTGTTCCGGTTCTGCAGAGAGACGTGAACGAGGCGTCAGGACCGGACCGGACCGTGATCAGCTGGTGTTTGTTCTACCTGTGAGGATGACGAGGCTCTGCTGCCGGTACAGTTTGCTTTTCTTCAGCCCATTCTCAGCTGGGAGGAGTGAGGGGATCTCAGGCAGGGGTTCTGATTTGGGCTCGTCCGGACTCACGGTGGGGTCGCTGAAGCTGTCCTCCACCCTGTTTTCCTTCGGCTCCACCACCGGAGACCTCCAGGGCCGCAGACCCATCAGCGGCTGCCCAGTTTGGCCCATGTACCTGCAGACAAAATTATTTACTAGAACGTTTCTGAAGAACGTCAGGAGAGTTCTGACGAAGCTGTGGCCCAAAACTCCAGCAGAACTTTGTAACAATCTACGAAAGACGGACGACATTCAACTGTTTGGACCGAAGTAACAATGAACCAACCAGCTGCTGCCAGTGGCTCTTTATGGTCTCCATGGTAACCGTGCGCCTGCGTCCCTGACAGACATGTTGGTGAGAGGCAGACTAAAAAGTAAGTCTCAAACAAACAGCTGCTGTGGAAAAAACTATAAACCATCCATCATCCATCTGTCCATCTATCCATCATCCATCCATCCTTCCATCCATCATCCATCCTTCCATCCATACATCCATCATTCATCCATCCTTCTATCCATTCATCATCCATCCATCATCCATCTATCCATCCATCATCCGTCCATATCTAAAACTAGCTAGTAGCTAGCTAGCTCCTGCCTAAAGTCCCACCCCTCCCACTTTCTACACTCTGAAAGAGCAGGAATCACCATGGCAACCACAGGCTCAGCAGACTTTGGGTCGATGGCTTCTGTATTGTGCTGTATTTTTCATAATGACTGCCCCCCAAATCTTTAAAAAATGGTCTAGTTGATCATTGATCATTTTTGTTTAATTGATTTTGTCTGTGAATTTTCTGAGTAAACTGGAGTCAGTGCCTCAAACTGGGAATTACTTTGGATGTTGAATTCATATTCAGATAAATTCTATGTGACAAATATTAGTTTTCTGAGCAGCACAAAATATGCTCAGTTGGACAGCTCACATCAAAGGAAACTGCTGGAGTAAATTTTTTAACTCCTAAAGAACAAAAGATGAACTTGTGTTAAGAAACTCTGTTAGAAGCTGGGGGGTTTCTACACACGTTCCTATAAAAACACTTTTTCTTTGCACTGTTTTGGACCATGAAGCTGCTCCAGGAAAATATTCTCAACCAAAACATGAATGTTGACTCCAGATCCACAACGTTCCCTCTCTGCGGATCCCTCCTGGGGGGTTCCCAGGCCTCACCTGCCCTCCTCTTGCTCCAGCAGCCGTCGGTACGTGGCGATCTCTCGCTCCAACCTCATCTTGGTGTTGAGCAGCTGACTGTGGCGCTGGCGCTGGGCGCTCAGGCCGCTCCTCACCTGCTCCAGCTCCCCCTCCAGCCCCGAGATCACCTGGGAGAGGTCGTGGAGCTGGGTGGAGTACAGCTGCTGGGTGTGCTGCAGGGAGCTCTCCAGACCTTTCTCCTGGAAACAAGGCAGCGAGCAGCTTTTAGACAGAAACACCTCTCATGTGAAAACACAAACATCTGGACCCACCAGAGAGGCATAATTATATTTACATCTTCGTGCCTTAAATCAATAAATGCTTTAATAAAATGTCAGCGTTCGATGATACATGTGGGTCAGAATTGTGGCTTAATATTCTCAATATTCATGTTTTTGCTTTGAAATGCTGTGAAGAAATAAACACAAATTAATGTTTTGTTTTCTTGAGTTACTCGAACTTTGAGTCATTATGAACAGAGTAGAAACGATAAAGATGAGGGTCAGCTCCTCTAAGCCGGAGGTCATGTTCTCAACAGGAAACGAGTAGGAACCGTCCTGGTCAGGGGGAGACTTTGCCTCAGGTGGAGGTCGTCAGGTCTCTGGGCGTCTGGTTCTTGAGTGATGGAGCAGGAACGTCAAGGAATCTTTCCAAGAGATCCAAAAAGTTCTATCTAATCTAGTCTAGGAGATGGATCGACAGATCAGGACCTTGTCCTCGGTAATGTGGGTGTTGCTTTGGTCAGTCGTTGTGAAGAAAGAGTTGAGTTGAAAGGCAAATCTCTGGATTTACAGCTTTGTCTTCGTTCCAAGCCTCACCCGTGGTGAAGAAGTTTGGATTAGGACTGAAGAACCAGATCCTGAATCCAAGCAGCCGAGTGGGGGGAGGGTGGGGGCTCAGCCTTAGAGATCGGGCTAGGAGCTCCATCATCGGGGGAGCTCGGAGTAGAACTGCTGCTCCTCTGCATCTTGAGTCATCTGAGGTGGTTCATCTGATCAGGACGTCTCCCTTTAGAGGTTTTTATGACAGGTCTCACTACAAGATGCTCCTGGGCAGACCCAGAAGTCTCTTGAGGGACTCTGGTCTGGGAACACCTTGGGTTCCCCCTGGAGGAGCTGGAGGGAGTCTCTGGGTTTCTCTTCTGGACCTGTTGCCTTCACAACTCAACCAGGGATACGTGGTACAAGATGGAGACAATAAATGAAAACAGAAAGAGAATAAACTGCTCCGTCAGGATTATCCACAGTGACGGGTTTCTGTTCCTCCTCTTCTGGCTAGTGGGGACATGTTTGGCCCGATGCTGTAAAGTCCTGATGAAGGAACGTTTGGGTTTCAGTGGGTGGAGAGTCGGAAGAAGATACTGATCTGTGAGGGTTGGCGTTCAGTGAATGTGGCATCTCACCGGTCGGCAAACGGCATTCACAAGAAAGATTGCTAAATGTCTGGAAACGTTCATGTTTTTGTTTTTTTTACTTCTAGCACAAGTCAACTGTCTGCCGGCCTGATCTTGGAACATGTTCAGAAATGTGCAAGCCAAATTTTTCTCCCAGATAAGTTGCAGAATTGGCCTCTCGAGTCCTTCTCACTTAACATTTTTAGACAGAGCTGTGGTTTGACACCTTGACGGAGCTCCTCTATAAAAGAACGCATCCGAGGTTACAGCCCCAAAGGGCCACGTCTAAAAAAAACATGAATAGTGAATAAAAATCCGGTCCAGCTCTGCCTGTCTTTACATCAAATGTGAACGCCAGGAGGTTAAATCATAAACTCATAGGGGCGGCTGTCAAGCTGTGTACAAAGTGGGTATGATGTGGGTGAAAAAGGGCAAAGAGAAATGTGCACAAGCAAGAATACAGTCGTGCAAGAATACAGTCGTGCACATGAACATAAGCTGAGATTTTTAAAAAGCAGCAGCTGAAAACGTGGCCGCGCCGCGGTCGCAAAAAGAATTCAGTGAGATCGCAACAGGAAATTTGCCATTTCTCTTGTAAATTTGCCACAAGTTTAAGCCTAGGCCTGTCACGATAACAAATTTTGCTGGGCGATTAATTGTCTCAGAAGTTATTGCGATAAACGATAATATTGTTTGAAATTTTGAAAAATTGTCAAATTTCAGAAGAAATGTTCATTTGTTTGGAGTGTAGTAGTATAAGACTATTTGAACCAAAGGATGTTTGAGCAGCGTGTCTCTTTAAGAAACATGGGAGGGAGGGTCCTTGACGTGATATGGGCTGACTTGGTGACATGGCAGACGCTCGGTGATTTGAGCTCTTTAGCATTTTTCCCGCACAAAGCTTTTAATAATAAAAAAATAAATCAGTAAACAAGTTCTCAGCTTCTTTTTGCAGAGAAAAACAACTTTTTTTAGACGAAGGCACGAGTTTCAACTGTGAATTTTGGAGCTTCGACAAGACGGAGGTTTATTCCCCGAGGTCGGCCTGTTAGCTTAGCTCGTAGCTTAGCTTCAGTTAACGATCCAAAAATGTGATTTTGGACGGTTAAAATGGATTTTAAAGAGAAAGGGAGGGGTCAGTGAAGAGCACCGGAGTCCAGTGTCTTCAGTAGAAAGAGAGAGACACGAAGAAACGATGAAGCCGACAAATGAAAATGAGGTTGATAATTTTATTTTATCGTGTGATTAATTGATTTATTGTTTATCGCGACAGGTCTGTTTGAGCCGCTAGCCGCTCTCCAACAGTCACAGCCGGAGAGAGGCCACCTCAAACTTCCATCTCTTCGTGAGCTCGAGACTTTTGGAAAAGAGCCGCTTGTTGTCGGCATCGCCAGCAGACAAACAGCTAAAACCTTTAGTAGGATATTGTCTGTAGCTGAAGTCCAGCTACTCTTTTCTTGTTTTAGCTCAGTAGCCGAGGATGAATCGGGGAATCAGGAGCAAAGATCTTCTGTATACGCTGATTTTTTTTTTTTTAACCATGAGTGAAAGTATTTTTTTTTGTTTTATGGTTAATGGGCCAGAACGGTTGACTTTAGCCTGTCAGTGTTATCGCTGACAGACGGGGATTTTCCTCCTGTCTCTGATGTGTTATCAGTGTTTGAGGTGGGTGGGGTGACCAGCGACGCGTTCTCTCACCAGGGCGTGTAGCGTCTCGATCTCCACCTGCAGGGAGCGCCACTGCTTCCTGGCCTCCGTCAGCTCGGCCCGGGCCTTCCTCAAGGCCGCGCCGCCGAGGTTCACCTGGGCCCAGGCCGCCGCCTCCTGCGTGACGAGAAGGGGACCAGATATTAAAGCGGGTATCGACCACAACAAACCTCCTACTGGGCTTTTATGCAACAGAGAATCCAAACTAATGGGAGTTCTTGGGTTAGGTGTCTGAGTAAACACAGGGACACACCTTGTGGGTAAGAGTTTTCGTGTTTCCTTTTGGCACTTAATCAAACGGTGCAGAGGAGAAGCGCCGGGTGGTGATGGTTTGTGCAAACAGATAGTGTGTGTGTGTGTGTGTGTGTCACACACACCTTTAAACGCACCGGGGCGGTGAAGCCGCCCTGCTCAGTTATCACTGCACTTTCACAGTGAAAACAAAAGCAGACTTCAGTTATTTCAAGTATTCTCTGATTATTTTCTTGACTCGTTATCTGTTCCAACCCACGAACCAGTCTGAGACTGGGAGCACAATCTCACGGGAAGCCTTCAGGTGATTACCAAGAACACGAAGTCCCGCCTCAGATCCAACCGGGAAGTGGTTTTCATAGAGACATCTGTCAGCTGGTGTCGGTGTTACACAAATACGTATTAAATTATTTTGTTGGTGTGATTATTGCAATAGTTTATTATCTGGGTGTACAAATACTTCTTTAAAACGTCTTCAATTAATCCAAAGTGCTGCTGCCAGAGTCTTAACTGGAGTTAGTGGGAGAGATCATCTCTCTCCAGTTTTAGCTTCTCTCCACTGGCTCCCTGTCAAATCCAGAATTCAACTCAAAATCTTACTTCTAACCTACAAAGCTCTCAACAACCTAGCTCCATGTTATACTCGCGGTTCCAAGAGTTTCCAAAAGCAGAATGGGAGGAAGATCTTTCAGTGATCAGGCTCCTCTCTTGTGGAACCAACTTCCAGTTTCTGTCCATGAGGCTGACCAGTTTTAAGACTGGGCTCAAGACTTTCCTTTTTGATAAATCCTATAGTTAGGGTTGGCTTGTCATGCTGCTATAGGCTTAGACGACTGGGGGATAAATTAACCTAATGTCCTTAAATAAATTGTTAAAATTGAATAGTTTTCATATTCTTGACCTGCCATTGTTTATCTGTTCCTACCTAACCCGGCCGGTCGAAGCAGACGGCCGCTTGTCCTGAGTCTTGTTCTGCTGGAGGTTTCTTCCTCATGAGGGAGTTTTTCCTTTCCACTGTCGCCTTCATGCTTGCTCAGGATGAGAGTCTGCGATGGAGTTAAACTCAAAGCAGTCTGCTCCTCAAATAAATAATGTTAACTTATTATTTTAAACATCCTTAGTTGAAAAATGTAATAAACATATTTAATTTTAAAAGTAATTAAACATTTTCACGTGTCACAACCATTTTTAGAAGAAAAGGGAAATAACAAATTAAGACCACCATGTGCACGTACATGAACACTCAAGTCAATCATGAGAGGATGAAAACTTTTGACCACAGCTGTAATTTTTGTGTTTACATGTTTACATGTTTACATGTTTACGCTACATGTTTTTACTCTTAGGTGGGCTTTAATGTTACTGACAGTGGTGGGTGCAGCTAACAAAAAGTTTGCTTCACTAACCCATATTCCGCTAACGAAAAAAAAAAAGCTTTGATGTTAAAAAAAAAAAAAAAGTGGAAGCTAACGGTAAACCGCTAACCACCAAGACGACTGTCACTCAGTTTGTGTCAATTCACGTCTTCGCTTCTTTCCAGTTGAAGCTGCGTCGACCAATCACGTCACGTGCGCATGTAGTCAGCCAATCGCGTGCCTAACGGACTTTTTGAGACACGCCCACAACAAACAGGAACAAGTTCACGATGCTAGCGGACTTAAAATTAGCGAAAGCCAACTTACCAAAAGTTAATTCTGCTAACGGTTTCCAAAGTTGGCGAAAGCAATAATCCAGGAATTATTATTTTTTTAATTCTGCTATTAGCTGTTAGTGGATTAGCGGGACTGTGTCCACCACCGGTCACCGAACACGACGATTGCTGCTGTGACATTTTGTTGCTTCAGATATGGAGAGGAGCTTTTTGTGAGCTTTTATCCCTCCGACTCCCGGAGCCAAGAATAGATCATCTGACGGCATCTTATTCTAAAAATAACCCGACCTCTGGTCATCCTGGACACCTTGCAGGTTTTGGACTGCAGCATTGTTTGGGGGGAGGAGGGGGCGGCTGTCAGAGCGGTCTGCTGTAAACAACAGGGCTTAATAAAAGCTGCTCTGATTTGGCACTGTTACTTAGTGAGGGCACTTTATCATGGCTGTCAGCCCAGAGCTGGACTGCTGAGGCACAGAAACACCCGGAATGCTTCGAGAAGAGCAGAACAAGCTTAAAAAAAACAAGTTGTTGTTATAGGACGGGGTCATAAAGGCTGCAGTGATGATTAGAGATCAGATAGACGGAAGAATGAGGAGGCAAACCCACAAAGAGGCACCTGCAGTCCTGAGGGTGTGTCACGGCCCGGACAGCATGCAGAGAAAGTGAAAACGTACAAGTGAGGACGTGGGCTGGGTACGCACCTCATCAAGAGCTCCTCTGAGTGTCCTGGAAGGGGCTGCTCCACTTCCAGCCCGGTTAGGCCCCCCAAAGGCCAGATTGGAGCTTGCTCCCAAACTGAGGCTTCTCTGAACCGGAGCTGAAGTTCTGCTCTGGCTGCAGCGCGCCGTGGTTCGGTCGAAGAGCTGGGTGAGCTCCATCCCTGTGCCATCGTCCTCCCCTCCTCCAGATGCTGATGCTGCGGCTAACAGAGCATCGCAGGATCCGTCCCGCTTCAGCTGCAGAGCCCGGGCTGCCTGCAAACAGCCGAGCAGAGGGGAGGGAAGGGGGGGGGGGGGGGGGTGCACAGAGTCAGGGACGACAGCTAAAACGAGAAGAAGACGAGACAGAGCGATGACAACAGCCAAAAAGTCACGCAAAGAAGAAAAGATGACGTGATGGAAGAATCACGCACTGCAGAGGCAAGAAAACGATGCAGAACCAGATGAGCGTGAGCAGGAAAAGACCCTGCGGGGGAGGGAAGGGTGGGGGGTATTAGTCAGCAGGAATCAGGAATGAAAGGAGAGAAGGAGGTGGAAAAGGATGGAAGGAGGAGAGGAGGTCAGTGAGAGGGGACCGGAGGAGTCAGAAGATGTGAATTCAGAGAAACACACCCAGCCATTACAGGACTATTACAGAGCAGGAACGTATAATTTACCTCACTTTATAAAAAATAATAAGTATTCTCATAATTACACACGTTCGTAGGAAAATTAAACAAACACGGTTACCAATCATTTTACAACCTGCCAATCTAACACGGGTCATACGGCGAACACACAACGATGCAGGTGTGCAAATTATAACTTTACAGACGGAAATGTAGCAGTTACCAGGACACTGTGTGTTCCCGTTAAATATTGTCTAATTTACTCTAAATATAGGTTTGGACAAAATTTTGGCACAATATTAAAGCTAAACAAAAAGATAAAGGCCTAAAGATTTGTATGGGATCAACAGGATACAGCTAACAGATTAGCATTTGCTAGCATTAGCTAATGTAGGGGAGAAATCAGAAAAGTTGCACATTGCTATTAACGACCTGCTATTTTGCTTTACATTAAAATACACACAATTATTTAAATAAGTTATCACTATACATGTTAACCACCCCATTTAGTAAAGTAAGTAGCTAAGTAGCTAGCTGCTAACTAGCTAGATACAGTCAGGCCTAGCATTTAAATCTCTTTACAAAAACTTTTAATTTTAGTATTTTTCTTAATGAATTAACTCACGAGGACTAGAGAAACTACATTTCCTGTGAAAATTCAGTGTGAACGCTTATTGCAGAAGAACTTGTTGAAAAACAGCTGAAATTAGCTAAAACTATGCTGAAATGTAGCTGAAATGGAAGAGCAAGCCTAAATTAGCATAACAAAGCAGAAACTAGTTTCTTCTGCTGTTTTATACAAACAGAAATGAGCACAAAATTAGGAAAATGGCTAAGAAAATCTGAAATTAGCAAAACAGCTGAAAAGGCCGAACGAAGCTTAAACTGCCAGAAGGAAGCAGAAAGAGCTGAAATAACCTAAAAAATGTGGAATTAGCTGAAAAGCTAAAATTAGCATAAAACAGCTAAAAATAGCAGAAAAAGCTTAAACTAGAAGAAAAAAGCTGAAAGGAACAAAACAAGCTGACATTAACATAAAGAAAATAACTAGGCTGCAAGTAGCAGAAATAACCACAAAAAATCTGAACAGGTGAAATTAGCTAAAAAATGCTACAAATGTAGCTGAAAATATATAAAAAAAAAATAGTAGAAGAAAACGGAACACGTTTGTCCAATTAGGCTGAAAGAAGCAGAAATGAGCACAAAATAGTGGAAACGATCTGAAACGTAGACCGACCAGTAAACAGTAAATAGCGAGCTTCTCCTTGCAGCTCAGATATCTCTTCACCACAATGGACCGGCACAGAGTCCACAATACTGCAGAAACTGCACCGATCCATCTGTAGATCTCACGCTTCGTTCTTCTCTCAAATACCGCGGTACGTTCCGTTTCCTTCTCATGGTGCTTTCACCCTTCAGCAAACCGTCGGTGGTTGCTGAAGTTCAAACGTAGCTTCTGTTGCAGACATGAACTCCCGAGGAGTGAGCGCACGGATAAAAAGTTACAGTTTTACGTCTGAGATGACGGCGGAGTCGAACATTGACCTGAAGCTCCCGGTCCAGATGCTGCAGCTCCATCGCCGAGCGCCGACACTCATCCTGCAGCTCCACGCCGTCCTCCTCCGCCTTCCTCTTGGCTTCTCTGAGCAGCGCCACCTGATGCTGCAGGCGCCCGGTGTTCCTCTGCTCCACCTCGCACCTGAAACAGGGTTTGAGTCGATGGTTTTAGATTAACCGGAAAAATGTTGAAGATCGAGGCGATCAAGTGAGTCCTAACCAGAGGACAGAGTGTCCAGCTGATCAGGAGACGCATCAGGTGGTGCAGCAACAACAGGAGCTTCAGCTGTCCTTTATGGGTTAACAGCTGACAGCTGGGGGGGGGGGGGGGGGGCTGACCAGGCACAAAACGGGCTCACCGGGAACCGACCCGTTAGATTACAGACGACTGGGAAAGCACAGCTGCAGAGTTGTTTGTTGTAATGACTAGAAAATAAACAGTTTTATGGGTTTGTAATTCCAGATTATCTCACTCTGGTTGTCAGTGGATTAACTGGTGCAGATTAATCAGATTATGATGTTTGATATTCTGAACAGGAGCTGACCTGGTCTGGATCTGAGCAGCTCTGGACTTCATGCTGTCAGACTGCAGGGCCAGCTGAGCGTTCTCCAGCACGAGTCTGCAGATCTGAAATAATTAAAAACAAACAAACAAACAACAAAAACAAAAAGAGGCTTTAAATGCCACGAGAAACACATTAGACTATTTTATACAGAGAAGGTTTTTATTTAGGAGTCTGTCCATCCATCCATCCATCATCCATCCATGCAGCCATTCATCCATTCATCATCAATCCATCATCCAACCATCATCCATCAGTTGATCATCCACCCATCATCCATCATCCACTCATCATCCATCATCCATCCATCCATCCATCATCCATCCACTCATCCATTCATCATCATCATCCATCCATCATACATCCATCCATCCATCCATCCATCCATCCATCCATCCATCCATTCTCCATCCATCCATCTATCCATTCTCCATCCATCCATCCATCATCCACTCATCCATTCATCATCATCCATCATCATACATTCATAATCCATCCATCATCCATCCATTCATCATACATTCATCATCCATCATCTATCCATTCTCCATCCATCATCCATCCATCATCCACTCATCCATTCATCATCCATTTATCATCATCCATCCATCATCTATCCATTCTCCATCCATCATCCATCCATTCATCATCCATCCATCTATCATCATCACCATCCATCAATCATCCATCCATCTATCATCCATCCATCTATCATCCATCATCTATCTATCTATCTATCCATCCATCCATCCAACTGTTATCCACCATCCAGCCATCATGTATCAACCCATCCATCATCCATCTACCCATCCATCATCCAGCTTTCCATCCATCAATCTATCCATCCATCTTCCTAAATTCAGAACAGTGGCAGCTGGTCTATAGGGGCAGATCGGGTGCAGCCTCTCCTAAAAATCATTCGCCCCACAAAGTAGTTCCTCCTAATAAACAATGTAAATGACTAATTTACTGAGCTTGATGAGTGTGTGGTTTTTTTGTGTGTCTTTTTCAACAATTTTGACATTATTGACATCATTAATGTTAAATGGTATTCAGACTTAAATTTAATGATTCATTCTTATTTTTTTTTAAATTTATTTAAGATTATGGAGCGCCACCGTTTAGCGACATGCATTCATCAAGCAGATCGGAACATGTCCAGTGATCCTAACAGCCAAATCCAATATAGTTTCATTTGGGGCATCAGATTTTCTGTCCTGCGGACACATTTGGCTGGTTTTAGCACATTAATGTGACCTCTACCTAGACCTGATGTGAGCTCAAATGCAGGAGCAGCTGCAGTGAAACCTGCTGAGCCCAACAGTGGAGATATTCTCTTTTTAAATCCACTCTGAGCAGACAGACAGGACCAGAACAGGAAAGTGAAGAGGATAGACTGAAAGTTGGACATTTTCGCCTACATGCGAGGATCTTTTTTAACCAGTTCTGTGTGTGTGTGTTAGGTCAGTGGTTAAAGCATTGGTCTTGAAATCAGAAGACTGTAGGTTTAATCTCTGGTTAGAACATTTATTTGAATCAGTGATGATGTATTCTAACATACAAAGTAATTTCTTCATTTTTATTTTTTTGTTTATAAAATAGAAAAATCTAAAAAAGTTAAATCTAGTCCTCTGGACATTCATGTCCAGAGGACTAGATTTAACTTTTTTAGATTTTTCTACCTGGATTATTGAGCATGCATCAAGATAAAATAGAAAAAAACGTTTACAGGTCCAAACAATATAAAGTGCACGTGTTTTGCAATCTGCCATCTCTCTCTTGTGTCGGTTGAATTGTGATAATTAATTCAGTCATGCGTTGAAACGGTCAAATTATCCCCTTTTTGGTTGGATGTGGATGTGGGAAGCGTCTGTTTCTCTGATTTATTAGACCGGGCTGTTTTTCACGAGGCACAACCTCGACCCGTGGGAGGGAGAAAAAAAGCAACAAGTTTGTTCTCGAAAACAAACAAAAAAACAACAATAAAATAAATATTAAGCACTCCTATTTTCACAGAAAATGTAACGCTGTTGGTAAAGTTTGTGCGATTCAGGAAATGAATGTCCGCCCCACTGAGGAGGCGCCACAGCTTCAGTAACGATCAGCGTAGAAGTCTGTTTGAACTGTTTACACGAAGTGGTTTTTGTGGATCACTTCACTAATCCTTTAAACTGCCAAATATGTGAGCGGCATTTGCCTCAGTTTCACAAGCCAGTCAACTTTCATCTTCACAAATCTCAAACTTACTACGACTAAACAAGTTGTTTAGAGGCGAAAAACGCCCTTATTTGTCTCCTCACTTTCCCCTTGTACACAACCCTCTCACATTAGGGTAAAGTTATCAATAACAGAATATTCCCAGACTGTACCAAACGCACCATTTACTCCCATTACAAGGATATTACTAAACCCACTGCAAGGGTGACTAATCCCTGCGTCGTGTCTTGCAGGACAAGCACCCATCTTTGGGTCTGGGACGTAAATAAAAAGACAAAAAGAGAATAAACTGCTGGGTAATCCTGTACATTGAGACGGAAGCTCTCCCCGGATGAGCAAACAAAGCTCTGACAGAGTCGGCCGTGGTCATGGAAACATCTCCAAAGCTTGCAGTAACACAGAACGTAAACGGACACATTAAAACGTCTGTCAGAGCACTTACTCATGTGTTCAAAACACCAAGTGACACCTGAACGTGAGAGGAGGTGGAGGCATGAAGCTGAGTCAGGAGGGATGCACCAGTTACTGTCTGAGGGAAAACAGATTTCCACATTTCTCTGTGGGTGTAAGTGACATCCAGACCGGCTTTTCCTGGCACTGGTTCAGGTCCAGTGACGCAAACGTTGGTTCTCTGGAAGCAGCTCCTTTGATGATGGCTTCATTTTCACATTGACGGTAACTGTTTGAGTTTATGACAACTGGATTGTAACGGCTAATGGATTCTTAACCCTGCTGCTGCCCTTGGGTCAAAATGTCTCACAAGTAGGGGTGCACCGATTGCAGTTTTCTGGCCGATCACCGATTTCTAAAAAGTCTAACCTGCTGATTCCGATTTTGTTTTCTAAGCGACACTGTCAGGTGTTGTAAGGTCACAATGCACCTTGAATTTTCCACTCTTATTTTGTTGAAAAACATACCCTTGAACAATATCCTAGAAACGATACTAACTTGTTTTAGCTGGCCATGAGGTAGTGCTCTGAAATATAAATGAAGATCAGACAATTGTTGTTAAAACTAAAAAAATCGGTAAAATCAGTTTCTCATGCAAGTATCGGCTAATTTACTTTTTCCCAAAATGAATGAAAATCGGAGCCGATTTATCGGTGCACCCCTACTCACAAGGCTTCAGTCTTGAAAGTTAGAGCTGTGTCCTCTCAGCAAGAAGGTCACAGCTGCAGCAGGTCCACTTAACAGCCCAAAAATTAGCATCTGTCTTCTCAAAACTGACAAAATGTTGACATTTTAATTAATAAATAGTAAAATGATAATAATGACACAAAAAATAACTCTATATAAGTTCCATCCACGCAAGATTTGCCAGATTATCGAACCCTTTTTGGTATTAGATGTCCAGCTCCTTGTTCATGTTCACACCTGACCCTCTTGTCTCGACCTCACGTCAGTCTCTTGGATTCACCGGCCTGCTCGCTCCACGCCTGGTTTATTCTGTCTTTCTGACCCTGGTAGCTACGACCCTTTTGAATTAAGGATTCCCCTCTGGATCTGTTCTTGGACCTCAGCCTCCCAGTGCTTGACCCCTGCCTCTCTTTTTGGACCACGACTAAAGTTTACCCTGCTGTTGTCACAGTGTCGTGGTGTCTCTGAGCAAGACACACAATCCCTAAATGTTCCCCGGGTTCTTACACAGCTGTCCACTGCTCCACCTGGGTGTATCCCAGGTGCGATGGGTTAAATGCAGAGAACCAAGTTGGCCATTGTATGGGAACATAAAATGATGACAACACATAGCACTTTACTTCATTAAAGCTCTCCCTCTGCAGCTGCTCCTCCACCACTTATGGTGGCGTCAGTACCATCGCCGACACCGTCTCCTCAAGCTCTAAAAGGTGTCTCTACGTCTTGCCTCACCTGCCTGAGAAGGTTAGTGGATGTTTTCTGCCTTCAAGCACATTTCCTGAAATCTACAGCCCACTAACTCTGTCTCTGCAGACCTGTTCACGGGATCCAGACTCCCACCAGCAGCTTTAGAACAATAAAATAGTTTAAAAGTTCTCGTTGTCTGGCTGAACTGTTGAATCTGAAAACCAGGTTCTTGTCAGAAGAACCATGTTTGTTGGACGGCTTCAGCTAAAATCAAGTTAATAAATTACTTTTATTTAACAAGTTTAAACCTTAAATCCACGTTTTTCTAGCATAACCTGTGAGTTGTCAGTTTAACACAGCCTTTAATTGAACCGGAGTATTACCGTAAGTTCTGCAGCATCTCATCACAGCAGCGTCATGAACTGAAGGTCAAACCTGAGCACGGAGGTCCCTGACGGTCTTCTCCTGCTCGCTCCAGTCCCGGCTGCTGATCCTGACGCTCCAGTCTGCGATCTGGGCCTCCAGCCGGCGGTTGGCCTCTTGCAGCCGGCTCACCCGCTCCATGAAGCTCTTCAGCCGGACGTTCAGGCTCCACGCCGGGCGGTCGGAGTCCTGCGGAGGGTCCATGGGGACCTGGGAGGACAGAAACCTGAATGTTTACAGTCCCACACTCGGTGACAGAGACGCTGCGAGGGCTGCAGGGAGATGAGGTTAGAACTTTCACAGCAAACAGTCTGCCGCCCTTATAAAACCACACGCTGACACAGGTGTTCTGGAGGTAAATGTTTACCCAGGACACTCACCTGACGTGGCCCTCTGACAGTGCGAGGCCAGCCCGAGCCACTACTCCTCACAGCCCAGACTCATTCCTCCACAGAGACCTGGTCCTCTGCTCCCCTCGGTGTCCTGGCTCGATGGCAGCAGAACCCTGACAAAGAGCAGACAGGATCAGCAGACGGGGACGGTCCTCCCTGTCCCTGGAAGTGGTGAGGTGGACACTGGACATGATGCTTACATCACCAGCCCCCCGGGGCCCTTTGTCCTCCCTGATCCAGGATTACTGAGCTGCTTTCAACACGAGCACTGGGGGAATGTTCTGGGACGTCCAGTGACTGGACCCGTGTGTGTCGGAAGTGTTTTCTATAATGTAACCCTGTCCCACTTACGGTTTACTCCGTCCTCTGACTCAGTCCAAGTCTCGGCTGGTTTGGAACAGTCAGACAGTCTGGGTCAGCGATTGATTCTCTGAAGCAACGCGGTGTGGCTTCAGAATCCCAAAGACCTGAACAGCTACAGATTTGTGCTTTTTCTGCAGACACAGCCTGGTGTTTGTGGTTTTAAAGTTTACATACACCTCCACAGTGAGCAGCAGAACCATCGCAACCATTAGAAGTTCCAAACGAACCATCCAGATTTAAGGAATTGGGTCCGTTTTGCAGGTCAGCTGGTTCCAGTGTAAACAAGCGGTACGCTGATGCTTCGATGAGGGATCTGAATAGGACTGGATTTGAACAGGGAATGTAATTAATGTTTCTGAAGCAAGATGTTCATGTGTTGAAGAACAAAGGTTTTATTTATTAATTTATTTATTTTACTAGTCCGAGGCAGCGCTGAGTGATGGAGCCTGGCGAGCGGAGGGAGCAGGTTTATCCACCACTGGTGCAATGGTGGAGCCAGGGGGTGGCCAATGGTGGCCTTGGCCCCAATAGATTAATCTTCAGCCATTTCATTTGAGGAAATTATACTTTAAAAAATAAAATCAAAGTCTTTTTATTATTATTTTTAAACATGAAACAAAACAAACAAACAAAAAGACAAAATGTAGAACAAACCCCTCCCCCCTTCCCTCCCACACTGGATCAGTCACACACTAACAAATTAATTAACTAGGCATTGACATGTTTTCTATGTACAACACGAAAGGTTGCCAAGTGTCCCAAAATCTTTTAACTGAACACTTCAGTGTATATCTGATTTTTTCCAAATGAATATGATACATCACTTCTCTTATCCACTGAACATATGCTGGGGGGTGTGGGTCCTTCCAGCTGCACAAAACAAGTCTTCTGGCCAGAAGACCGCCAAAAGCAATCACATCATTCTCATACTTGCTGAAGGATGTATCCACTAAGATGAGCAGTGATGGGTGTACAGTTTTGCAAAGGTAATTATACTTTTAAGCAAAAATAAAAAACTAGAAAGCAGTTTCCTCAAATGATAGGGTGGCACGTTAACATATGGAGGCGACCATCTTGGATTTTGATGTAGCAACCCAAATTTTGATAATGACTTTTATACACCCAGATTCAGCCACACACCAAAATGGAAGTTGGCACGATGCTTAATTTTCAAGTTATACAGTTCACAAGACAGACGTATACAGTGGCAGCCATTTTGAAATGGCAACCCAAATTTTGATAGGAAGCTTTTTCACGTTAAGATGTTTCCACACGTCAAACTAGAGGACAGTACCTCACTTATTTTTTAAGTTATCATGCTCACAATATGGACAAATGGACGGATGTTTGTTTGTCTGGTCTGGGAAAACCTTGGGATCCCCCAGGAGGAGCAGGAGAGAGTCTCTGAGGAGAGGGAGGTCTGGGTTTTCCTACTGGACCCGTTTCCTCCACACCCAGACCATGGATTAGTTGCAGAAAATTGATGGCTGGAGGGATGGACAATAAAGGTTTTCTATGGTTCTGTAACTGTTTGGTTAATGTTGCACCACAGGCGCTTTACAGATAAAAATGGGAATAGAGGTGGGGAGCAATTTGACTTGGCTTTTCCTCTAAAAAATAGCACTTCTTAAAATACTTTTTGTTTTGATGCAGTTTTTGAGGATCAGGAGGTCCATTTAGGCAGAAAGAAAACCCAAAAATGTTGAATAACTAACAAAAACCAAGCAGGTAAGTGTCTCAAATACACCACGACTGACCAAGAAACTTCCACCAAAGATCTGCCAGACGGTTAATTAGTGAGAACAGGTGTGTTAATTACAGACTGTTGACAGGTGTGAGAGACGGGACAGGCAGAGGAGAAAACTACAGCCATGGAAAACACAAAACCAAAGTGTCAGGCGAAGTATCAAAAACTCTGATGGCTAAAAACTGAATACATCGGCAGACATCAATTAAACCTACTTATTCTAAAACAGGTAAACAAAAACACCAAGAACACAAAAACCATGACGTAAACAACAGTTTACAACACAATGAAGAACTGGCACTTCCTGCTTTTATTGTGAAAGGAAAACCAACGACGACCAAATCAAAGGCGACTGGACTTTTGTCCGTCCCGCCGGAGCTCCACGTACGAGTCGTGTTTTGGTGTGTAAGCTCTGTCTGGCTGTTTATTTGCTCCAGCTGTTTTGGTTTTTAAAACGATGTTACCAAAGTATGAAGTATGTGAGCGACACGTTTGGGCAAGACCTGATTCAGTTTCAGGACCTGGACCGGGGCCAGTGAACCTGGCCTGATTTATCTCAGGTTTTTCTAATCTACTGACAGACTTAATGTGCAGGCTTCCTTGTTTTCAGATTAAATAGCTTGTCAGTCATGGGACATGGACACAAGACACCAGAAAATAATTTTTTTTTTGTGAATAAACATTTTGAAACTAATATATTTAGCGTTATGGCCTGTGGCTAAAAACAACTAACCTGATCTGTCTTGAGCCTGATTTTATCCTGTTGAGCTTCCTGAGCTTAACTTACTTCAACTGGTCATAAACCAGATAATCTAAGTGTGTTTACCCTTAAATACCAGTATATGATAAGTATACAGAATTAAAGTTGCATTGGTAAAAATCACAAATGAGTACCGTATACGGCACATTATACACCATCAAAAAATACTATACAGCAATCTATAGCATCGGCCCAGACAAGCAAAGACCTTGTTTTAGTTTATATTTGTATTAACTTTCAACATATATAACAGAACACAAGGTATATGACAACATTCACTCCAGCAATACATCAGTAGTTCATGGTTGTACATGTGTGCAAATACAGTACGATCAAAGTGGTTAGCTACAAGTGCCAGGTGTTGGCACTGCTTCCAGAGATGGTACATAAATCAGTTCCTTATCTTCCTTAGCCTAGAAGTAATATCTGAAGTTTGAAGTTTAAGACCACCATCTGTCATGCAGATTGTGTTTTTTGCCAAATTAATCTTGCAATCATCTTGTTCGAGTTATCAAAAGTTGATTTTGGAATTGTCATAGATAGCATCTGAAATAAGTAGAGTAATCTGGGCAGGATGTTCATACGGACACTTTCAACACGACCGAGCAGGGAGGGGGACAGCGCTGACCACCGTTCAAGATCATTACTAATGACTAATTATTTTACTGTAATGAGCATCATATAAATCTTGTAGCAATAAGGGAACGTGGAAGCCACGATATTGTTGCCCTCTTTTGACTATTTAAATTCACTCTGGGGTTTCATAATTCTTGGGATTTCACCAGTGACATCCAAAGCCTCCGATTTTTCCACATTTACCTTGTATCCTGAATAATAACTCGTGTGGTATTGTTGATGCTGGTTGTGTGAGATACTGTCATGATCCGCTCTCTGACACCTGTCATGGCCACTTCTCCACCTCAATCAGCGCTCATGCCCTGCACCTGCTGCCCTATATAAAAGCTCCATCCATGCAAGACCTCTGCCAGATTATCAAACCCTTTTGGATATTAGCTGTCCAGCACCTTGTTCATGTTCACGCCTGACCCTCTTGTCTTGACCTCATGCCTGTTTCTTGGATTTGCCACCCTGCCTGCTTCACAGACAAAGCATCTACTTTGAGTTTTTCAGCCATATCTGGACTCTCACTTCAAGTTGGAGAGGGTTCGTCTGGGTCACCTGTTGCACTCTGCTTCGTGGCTTGCAAGAGCCATGAAGTGCTAATGAATTTATGTTACTGAAGCTTTTCTGCCATTCATTTCAGTTTGAAGTATCCACTTAATGCACTTTTTAACTTAACTTTTTGTGTTCTCCCTCAACCTGTTGGCTGGAGTTTGTGTTTTAATAGCGGTTTTTAATGAAAATATTGTAAGTCCTGCATGAGCTCACAAATTCACGTCTTACTCCATGTACTGCTCACTAGCACCCCCAAAAAACCTTTTTGAACTTTGGCCTTGATTTGTGACCTGGACCTTGTAGCCGGGATAAGGAAAAGTGCGTGCAACAATTCATCTAGTGATGATGCATATGTGTATGAGCTTTTGTTATTATCTTGAGAAGAAGTTATGGCACATAGAAGCAAAGACATTGTATAACCTTTGATCTTGACTTGTGTTGCAGGCAGGACAATAGAAAGTTTACACATGGATGGACTGATGGAGAATATACCGTAACACATCCACCTTTCAACGTGAGTAAAAAACTATGGCTCCAGGTGTCCTATCAGAACATCTTATCTCCAATTAAAGATGATAGTTATCAGGACATTTAAGTAAAAAATGTATCCTGTCAGTTGCGGAGATCCTCAGGGTTCAGTGCTTGGACCACTACATTACTATACTTCCATTACATAATATTAGACAGTGTAACATACATTTCCTTTGCTATGCAGATACTATTCAAAGCAGTCAAACCATTTAGGCCTCAGACGAGACAAAAGGCTGCAGGGCTTTTTTTTTCTGCTGAGTTCAGACAAGTCATGTTGTTGTTAGACCGGGATGTCTGAGCATTAACTGTGTTAACAGTAGCAGGTATGAGGAATCTTAAAGGTATTCTTATAAGTCCTTTAAGTCAAAGTTTAAGTATTTTCTTCCTTTAAGACTGGATTAACTCTCTATTGTCAGGGTGCCAAAAGAACATGTGAACAATATTCAGCTGATAAAAAGTTTTGTAAAGAATTCAGATAAAAATGAGAAGAACAGGTTAAATATTCTGCTTTTGTTCTCTGTTAAAAACTCAAAAGTAAATTTAAAAATTTTCTTCCTCTTTTATAAATCATGTTTGGACA